TGTGCTACATACTGCAAGTGCAGTGGGCTGAGTTGTGAGAAGGACCCAGTACAACCCATTACAGGTTGCCTGAAGAAGACTACAGCAGGGGTCAGATGGAAGACCAGTCACCCTGATCAAGGATAGAAAGCATCAGGAATTTCTTGCACAAAAACAACATTTCATGTTGGATTGCTCCACAGATCTTGATAAAATATGCCCCTGGGCTTGGATGTTGGTTTCTGCTTGCTTTTATCCAGCTCTTGGGGCATTATTCACCCCACTGTCAGCAACAGTAGGACACAGTTCCCTGTGTGCCACTGAAACCAACAATGGGGCACCATTCTTCTCATTGATACCAATGATGAGGCACTATACCTCCCACTGACACCAATGATGGGGCATTATTCTTCCCATTTACACCAATGATGGGACACTATTCCTTCCACTGACACCAATGACGGGGCACTATTTCTCCAACTCACACCAAAGATAGAGCACTATTCCTTCTATTGATACAAACAATGGAGCAATATTCCTCCCCCTAATACGAATGATAGGGCATTAAACCGGCCCTGTGTTATAAAGTTACCCCTTCTTTAGAGCAATCATTATGCATCTACTTCTCGCAGGAAAGATTAACATAACTAGACTATGGAACTCCACTCATTCCTCCTTGACAAATTCAATTAATGACTTAAATTTTCAATGGAAACTGGAGAGATTGCTTGTGTGTAAAAATGGAAATTATAATAGCATGGTCGCTATAACTGAAATACCCCAAATGTACAGTATCATCTTGATGGTAATAATATGCTGGATTTCTGCATTGTTTGTTACACTGTTCAACAGGTAAAAAGTTTTGGGCATAAAATTAGCTAATCTTACATAATTTTGGGGTGCTGAAAACTAAAATGACCCTAAAAAATGTTGATTGGCTCTAGTTTCCATGATATATTCACCCATCTAATGACGTAAGCCATTCAAAATTATGATGCAACTTTTCAGCTGCATATTGCGCAATTGATACTGGTGACCAATAGAAAATTGCATGTATACTGAGATGATGCAATATTAGCCTTTAATTGCATCACTTCACTGCATAAAAGCTGCAGTATCTGTAGCTGATTGTAGTTCGACAGCGTCTTTACATTTCGTTTTATGCTTATATAGGCTACTCAGTAATGCCTCGAACTTGTGTGAATAAAGCAGATAATTTCTGCTATATCTGCGGTGAAATAACTTTTATCTCACAAAAAAGGAGGATAACAGGAATGATTAAGAAAGCCTACAACTTGTATTTTGGCTGCAGGATAGGAGACCAGGACAAGAGCTGGGCACCACATATATGCTGCAATTCTTGTGGGACGGCACTGGAGCAATGGTTGAATGGAAAAAAGGCATCTATGCCTTTCGCTGTGCCAATTATTTGGAGAGAGCCAACAGATCATGTTAGTAATTGTTACTTTTGTATGGTGCCTCCAATTGTAAAAGGGCTAAATAAGAAGAAAAAGTTATCTGTGTGTATAATTATTATTTCCTTTATTTTTTGTTATTCCATGCCCCTTCTGTTTCCTCTCCTACAACCCTTCCTAATTCCCCCTTCCTCTACTCCTCCCTCCTTTCTCCCTTCCTTCCCTTTCCCCTCCCTGATTACCTCCCCCTTCCATTCCCAAATTGGAGTTCACTATCTGCCTTATAATGTAATACTGGGGTGCCCAAAAAAGTTTAATCTTTGAATCTCTGTTGTATAACACTATATTTAGGGGCCTACCTTTATTTTATATGCAAACTCCATATGTGACTATTTTGTTTGTTTGTACCTGCATTTTGAAATCTTCAGTACAAATTTATTGAACATTAAATTTCAATGGCACCTCAATACACATATATATAATAAGCACACCTGCCCCTCAGCACATTACAGTGCATGTTTTACTTGTGATCCTTTGACCCAAGGGCATGTTTAGGGCCCACTAAATGAATGGAGCATGATTTGATGTGCCATAAAGCATAGGTGTTAAGGGGCCCTTAATAATATTTGTTTATTCTGATGGCTAGTGTAGCACTCCCGGACGGGCCCCCACATATAGTGCCAACCCAGAAGGTGTTGTAAATATACAGGTCTGCCTTACCTGTTCAGAGGTCAGCCTTGGTTCCAGTCTCAAAAGCAAACCAACAAATGCAGGCTCAGTTTAGGGGTGTCTTTTTTCAAATTATATTGCAGATCTTGAACATAGGTAGGAAAGAGGGTAGAGGTTGCAGGATACTCAAAAGCACATGCAGGTATTGGAGGAACGATTTTCAAAGAAACACCTATTTCAACAGTATTGAGCCCTTCAATAGAAGCCCAAAAGTAATGCTGAGACTCATTGCGAGCAGTCACAGCTCTTGCAGCAGCCTCTGGTATCTAACCCCCAAAGCACTTGTACACCTGAAGTTATAGGCAAAAGGTAATACTCACAATCTCCAAAGGTAGTTCCTAACCAGCTCCCCTGCAACACTCTTCAGTGACAGGTTTCCTCTCTGGCCCAGCTTTCACGGGTACTGTCCTCCAGTAAGTCTCCTTCAGTCCAGCTTCATTCAGGCTCTCAACCATAGCATCTGCTGAGGCCTAATAGCGGTAGTTCTTCTGCATCACACACGCTGCCTCCCAGGGGAGGGGGGGTACATACTCCAGAAGAGAGAGACCTCTGATTAGATCCTCCTAATCATTTCTTTTTTTTTTTTCCCCAGCTACGCACTCGGGGCCAGCCTCCCAGGGATTGGCTAAGGTTAGATAAATATTCATAATCCAGTGACTGACCCTCCAACAATATTTCTGGAACATTCTTCCAAAGGCAGGTAGAAGCAATCAGCCAGGCTTGGGGATGAACCCGATCAGACCTAGTAGGAAAATTGTACGTTATTGCTCTCATGATCATTGACACTTCACGAGGTGAGATCTTGTATGGTGCACCAGACCTAGGGAGACTGACAGTTGTTTGGTGTTCTTCCATTTGCGAATGATTGCACCAACTGTTGTCACCTTCTCACCAAGCTGCTTGGCGATAGTTTGGTAGCTCAGTTCAACCTTGTGTAGGTCTACAATCTTGTCCCTGACATCCTTGGACAGCTCTTCGGTTTTTGCCATGGTGGAGAGTTTGGAATCTGATTGTTTGACTGTGGACATGTGTCTTTTATACAGGTAACAAAATGAGATTAGCAGCACTCCCTTTAAGAGACTGCTTCTAATTTCAGCTTGTTACCTGTATGAAAGACACCTGGTAGCCAGAAATCCTGCTGAATGATAGGGGATCAAATACTTATTTCCCTCATGAACATGCAAATCAGTGCATAATTTGTTAGACATGCATTTCTTTTGATTTTTTTTTGTTGCTATTCTGTCTCTGAGTGTTACAATACATCTACCATTTGATTTTTAGACTGATCATTTCTTTGTGAGTGGGCAAACATTCAAAATCAGCAGGGGATCAGATACTTATTTCCTTCATTGCACATATGCATGTACCATATCGTTATGATCCCTCTACAAACTAGAAATCACAGTAGTAGAAAATTACTACTCCAGTGACCTCCACTAGCTTCTGGGCCCCATGCCAAGCAACTGTTCTCCTGCATAGTAAACACAGGATTTCAGCCGCTCGGGTATGGGCACTGTTCAGAGGTTGCTTTGCATTTTCTCAATGTGTGCAAAGCATTGCCTAATTGGAGGAGGTGGAGAGGTGGGGCGGTTACGTCACAATTTCCACCTCATTCAAACAGAGAATACTTTGCAGTTATCGAGAAATTCAAAGCATTCTCTAAATGGGGCCCATGATCAGTGGTCTACATTCTGTGTTCAGAATGCAGCAGGGCAGCTACTTAGCAAGGGACCAGGAATCTATTGAGATTACTGGAGTAGTGGTGTTTACTAAAGTGATTTACAGCTTCTAGAGGGACCCGAAGCTATGGTATATGAACAGTTACATTGGCCCAAACTGTAAATATTCCATACCTGGAATTAGAGTGGTTTTAAAACATTCACATATACCCAGTGAAGTGAATGGCCTCAGGTGATACACAGAGATGAAACAAATAATCCTACAAAAGTTGTACCTATCTATCTACATCTGTCTGTCCCCTACATCCAAAGTGCAGAATTTACACAGGATCTCTCAGCTCTGAAAACCAGGGGGTGGGAGATGAAGTTACACTCAGTTAGGAGAGCTCTGAGAGCTGATTGGAGGGAAACAACACCCCCCTTCACACAGCACACAGGAACAGAGCTGAGGCTGTCAATCATAGGCTATGCCCTTCCCTGTCACCATTTTTCTCTTGGTGTCAGGAAAACACATCGGAAGTGACTCATGCTGATGGCAGAGGAATGAGGCAGTGGACAGAGATTTAATAAAACTGGTGCACTCATAATCTGGTGAAGCTGTGCATAGTATCCAATCAACTTCTCAATTCAGCTTGTTCAGTTAGGTTTTGGCAATTAAACTTGGAAGTTGATTGGCTTTTGTGCAGAACTGCACCAGATTTTGCACTCTCTAGTTTTAGTAAATAACTCCCTTAGTGTTTTGGGTTGAGACAAGCACACAATATAGAGGTATGCAATTTGTTCATATTTCACGTCTAAAGTTTACAACCACTTTAAGCTTTTTTAAGGAAGCAAACACAGGGACATTTTATAGTGGAAAGGAGAAGATGATAAATGCAGCAGTTAATACATTTTCATATAAATCCTTTGTAGATCTCAGCCAAGCCCATCCTGCACCTAGGCCTCATAGCAGCTAAATAGGCAAATATGACTATACCAGCAGTATATCTATGCTAGCAACAATTTTATTGTGCATGAAGTTTAAAGTGAAATAATTGTTGATTTGTTTTGTCAACTAAATGCCTTGATTATCATAGGTAATGTATAAATAAAGCCATCACTTTTTTGCAACAATTTTTGATTTCAGTGTTATATCTCAATAATACAAAGCTAATTTTTTTTACAGTTTTGAGACAAAATTAATGAACAGATATCCTACCTGGGAGGGATGTTTGTGTTTGCATTTGTAGTTTTATCTTTACCAGGTCAACAGGTCCACCAATCCCAACAGAAACCAGTCCTGCTAACATGCTGGCGATAGTTAAGTCTATGAAGTCCGGGGAGTGCTTTCTGTCTGTCTGTCGATGATGACTAATATATCTTTGTGCATTGCTGAAAACACCAAAAACTACAGAGTTGTAAATTGCTATGCTGGCCAAAGGGAATGACATTCCTTTAAAGAACCCAGCAACCTGGAAGAAAAGTAATATAAATACTATTTACTTGACTGTGTCTTAGAAATCAGATAACATCAGACATCAGTGCATCTAACAAACACAAAGACAGTATGAATTTAATAGAACTAGAGCAGACAGAAACTGGAGCAGCTGTTCATACTAACTTCAGCTTGTTTAGATAAGCTTTAAAAATGAAAGCTAGATGCTGATTGGTTGCCATGGATAGCTGCTGTAGATTCTGTTGACTCCAGCCTTAGTAAATGCTTCTTCTATGTGTACATATACAATACTACAGAATTAATAGTTTTTTGTTCATCATATAGTTACATAATTGTAGTACAGTATATATGCTTTTTCCTTTCTTTACCAACCAAAAAAAAATATATACCAGTTATTGTGATATGCTAATGTTAGTAATATGCTTTCTATATTATACATAGATGCTATAACTTACTGTAACTCTAGCGGTATATAGTTGAAAGCGTCACAGTAATTAAAAAACCCTGATATGCTTCACATATAACATACCTATATTTCAAAGTTGAACTTTACTCTTTAAATGAACATTAATTATTTTTAATCCTTATGCATTAGTAAAGAATAGTAAGGTCTGTTATATTTACTTGTTTCTGGCTTAGGCCAAATGGAATTGTGCATTGTATGTTATTTTTCATCTGGAGGAGGGGCTGTCTTGGCTAAATGTACCCTCCCTTATGCCTGAGCTAGGAGCTGATAGATTCCAGGAAGTAAATGCTACATGAATCACCTGCCCTACTTGTGTGGCTAGAAAAGTTAGGGAGGTGTTTTTCAAAGTGATTTTTCAACAAAATAAACCATGGAGACATGGGTGGATGGGCGAGTTTGCTTTGAATATTAAAAATGTATGTATAAATAGCCTTTTTGGTTTGTTGAACTCAAATACAGTTTAGTTCTGTTTTAACTAAAGGCTCCCTTAAGACAGTCTAAACAAGTCTCAGATCCAGTTACTATGGGATGCCTCATACAGTAAACAAAAAACGTTATTTTCCTTCTTTGACTGAGCCAAATCCTCCTTCATTTATCCTTCACTTGTTCACCCTCCAAGACACTGCAGCTCACAGTGGGACTGTTTCAGCAACAGAGGCAGATTTATCAAGAAAGCAGTTGACAGGGCTAGGTATAGCCAGGTGCTAACTAACAAGATACAGGCTTGTGAATTAGCAGTGACAATGCTAATAGCCCTTCCCCAGCAACTTTTTTTTCATCCCAGTGTAAGCAGGTGCTTATGGGGTGCCTATGAATATATTAAAATTAGTGTATTAATGGCATTGTGTGGTTATGCAGTGAGTTCAGGCTGCCTAGAGTGAGAAAGGGTTAACAGTGTCTCGGACCTTTCCTGTGTATTTTGGGTCATGCCCTCTTCTTTGGACCCAAAAATACAGAGGGAGGTCAGCCAGCCAGAGGTCAGAAGCACCCACATTGGGTCCCCACACGGGACTCTTCCTGGAGCCAGGACACCACCAGCTATGGATTTGAAGGACTTACTTTATGGAAGGGGTGAACCTGAGCAGCCTACACTAGATAGTTATGACTATTCTCATGTTCTGTAGTCATTTCTGTTGAATGGGCTGTGTTAATGAACATTCCAGTAAAATTACATTGTCTGTTTCATGCCTGGTCTGAAGACTCTACAGTACATAGAGGTGCATTAAGGTACTTGGCATATCCAAAGAACAGGGCATGTAACAGACACATGGAGATAAAGAGAAAAAAAACTAGAGAGCGACCACCAAGGGTTACCGATATAGAGGAGTCAATGAGAAGTTCCAAGGATGCTACAGGTAACCAGGACTGGTGGGAATGTAATAGCAGCTAGCCAGTGGGAGAGAGGTACTGGGCATGGGTGATGGGTCCTCTGGTTAGAGAGGGGGTTGATGCTCTGACTCCCTCCCTAGCGGTCGATGCCCCTCAGTCCATGCTTAGTGCATGGCTGGACCCCTACTCTGTCACTGGGAATGGGGTGACAGGAAGGCTGGGCTGTGTTCACCTCAAAATGCTATATTCGGGAAAACAATGTGGACCAAGTGGTTCAGTGTCAAGATGATACCATCTTGGACTTGGCGGTACACTACAATCACCAACTTATCACCATGCAACGCCATATTGAAAAATTGCACTATAGGGGCTGCAGGTGGACTCTCCAGGTTCAGGGCACAACAGCAACAGAAGAGCCAGATCAAATACCACAGGATCTCCAGATCCTTTTTGACGATCTCTTGGAGAGGCCTCCAGACACTCCAGTGGTGTTCAAGCAGGCTTATTGAGTGCTGCGACCACGGGTATACTGTAGATATTGTCTGTTGCTTTGTGGACTATCAGCTAAATAAAGAGATCCTCAGTACAGCCCGCTCCCAGAAGGAATTCACTTTTTCAATGGGTTAGACATTCAAGTCTTCCAGGACCTGTTTCTTATCACCATATGCAGTCAGAGAGCCCTCCATCCTCTCCTGCAAGTTTTACAGGACAAATTCCCTACAGATGACATTTCCCCTCAGTCTCTCAGCTACGTACCAAGACTTTCATAGCTTCTGTGATATCCTGCACCTCCAGAGGGTAGTTGTTCATGAATGGTATTAAGAATTTTGACTTCATGAGGCACTTCCACTGGCTCAACCATTTATTGGTTGGCATTGGGGGGGGGGGGTCGGGGGGCCACTCCAGCTTTTATAGGAGGGCAGCTGGTTCTAGGGCTTCGAGCCCAACTGAGGAGGTGGGGTAATCTCCCTTAGTTTCTGGAAAACCTGCAGCAAGGCTGTACAGCTTGGTCACCATTGGTGCAGGCAGGTAAGTATTAATCGTTAAGTAGCCTATCTGTTGTCTTACTCTGGTGCTGTTGTGAGCAGACAGTCTGGGCATTCATTCCATTGTCCTATATGGCTCTGCTATATATTCATTTTTGAGAAGATGTTGTACTTGCAGGATCTCTATACCTGATTGGCTGTTGGGGCGTGCTTCGGGTTCCTAATTTGTTAATCATTCCACCTCCATCCCTCACTTATTTCCCTCCCACTTTCCCCTCTCCCCTGTTTTCCTTTTTGCCCTTTTCTTTTAATCTGCTAGCTTTTGTGCTTCACTTTTCTTGCACGGTTTGCTGCCTGATTATCTAGGTGGGAGTGCTGGGTGCCCCCCTTTCCTGCTCTCCCTCATTGAATTGATTTTATTAGAGTTATTCTTTAGTGTCTCCCCACAGTCTCCGCATACCTAGTCCTTCACATGGTGGATTCTGTGAGTTCCATACATCCTTTGCAATGGAGGTTTTTGTCCCTTAAAGCGGAGTTTCTCCCAAAAGTGGAAGCTACGCTTATCTGCCTCTTTCCCCCACCCCCTCTGCTGCCACATTTGGCACCTTTTTTGGGAGAAGGGGGGAGCGGATACCTGAAAGGAAGTTTGGACCAATGTGTGGTTGTAGATGGGAGGTTTCTGTTTTTAAAAGGCATCCTTCATGGTAAACTGCTCACCTTGGCAAATGTATATACTGGACAGGTCTTCATGCGTCAAATTAGTGTTCTTTTGCAGGAGTTTGCACAAGATATTGTAGTAATGGGGCGGGACTTTAACCCCTCTGAAACCTATTTTGGATACCTCCTCCTGTATGTCCGTCCTTCCAAATTGTGGCTCTCAAGGTGATTAAATCAAGCTTAGCCAATTTACTACTCAATGATACCTGGCACCTCTTACATCCATGCACTAAAGAATATACTTTCTTTTCTCTTCCACACAACAAATACTCCAGGATAGATTTTTTTCTCCCTGTCACAGGCAGATTTGCAATTCCTCACTGAGGTGACTATTGAGCCATTGGTCCTTTCTGACCATCATCCCATTAAGATGACTCTTACGATTCCTGTGCATGAGGCTCATACAAAAATTTGGTGTCTAGATGCTTCTTTGTTGTAGGACCCAGTAGACTCTCAGACTCTGCAGGAGAAGTTGCGGGAATATTTCTCCTTAAACGACACAGAGAATATGTCTCCTATTCTTCAGTGGGAGATGCATAAGAGTGTGATCATAGGGAATTCTTGTCCTTTTCAGCTCACAGGAAATGTGACCAGTAGCTTGTCTCAGATTTACTTTCCCAGGTGAAATCATTGGCGTTTTACCAAAAACAGTCGCAGGCTCATGTTACCTATCTTGAACTTGCTGGTGCATGGCAAGAACTGTTAGATGAGTTGAGTAAACGTACCCAACTGAGACTGACCCTAAATCAAAAATTCTTTATGAGTTTAACAAAAAAGTGACCACCTCTTCTGGTGAGAAAACGTTGAATGCTAAAAGGAATGGAACGTACTTAGAAAGGCTTACGAGGATAGACCCAAGTTCTCTTCAGTACCAGGAATATGCAGAGATAGACATGGTAAACAATATGTTTTTACCAAGTATATTGCGGAGCAGTTTCACCTTTATTATTAACAATTGTATAATCTTCCAAGTGGGGACCCCTCGCATCCCTAGGCTGGATCCTACAAGCATCACATACGCAATTTCTTAGGAAAATATGCCCCTCCCACAATTTCCATGGCAGAGGCCTTTTGTTTGGATGCCCCTCTGAACTCCAAAGAATTGCATATAGCAATAAAACAAATGAAACCTGGGAAAAGCCCTGGACCTGGAGCCTCTTTGAATCATTCCTCTCCTCACATTTTGTGAGGGCGTTCAACTCTCTGGTGGAAGCCCCTGTGCCGATGAGCCTGCTGGCAGCCCATATAGCGGTTCTATCAAAAGAAGGTAAGGATTTAAGACAAGTTACCAACTATGGTCCCATTTCTTTCCTTAATGTGGACATTGAACTGTATGCTAACAACTTGATGAACCACCTATTGCCCGCAATTCACACTCTCTTATTTCCTCCAAGCAGGTGGGATATGTCTCGGGCTAGGGGCAATACCAAAAAAGGCAATTAATATCCAGGTGTGGGTCTTCTCTTGTTGCTGGACGCAGAAGACATGGGACTATCTCACCACAGTCTTGCAACATGT